ACAGCAACCTCCAACTCCTGGGCTCAAGCGAGTCTCCTGCCTCCGCCTCCCAAGTAGCTGGGACCACAGGCGCCCGCCACAACGCCCGGCTATATATTATTCTTTATGTTAAAAATAATCTTGTCTTCCGTACAGCAATCAATTCATGTTATAGCAATCACTGGTGAATTGTAGGCAATTTAGTATTGAAAAACCAACTGGGGCTACTATCTCTTAACAATATCTTAGACCTTCCATTTCTCCCAGTAAGCTATTAGTCCTCCAGAGGTGCCCCCTTCCTCTGTCATTTCAGCACCATTTAAGCCACGGTTTGCAGCCCCTGGCTGCCTCAATCATGTACTTTTGCACAGTGATTTGCTAATGGTCATGGTACCAATAAAAATAAGAGCTGTCAACAAATGGAGAGGAAAGTGAGCCATTTATTGTGGCTGGCAATGTCGAGAGCTCTCATTCTCCCACTTTCTGGCTGCTCAATAATTGTTTTTTAAGCAACTACCCATTGTATGTAGCCCATATTTAAATACTCAGCATTTACCAGAAACCGAGCCTTTCAAGGCGACAAACCCTAAGCAAAAACTGGTAAAATTCTCAGCTGTAAGGGAGGTTTCTGTCTCAAGCAACAGTCACCCACACAGGGAATCATTTAGGATAAACCTAAAGAAAATCTTTCTTTCCTGGCCGGGCTGCGTGGTCACCACATGGACAGAAGCAAACACAACGCAGCAAATCATGTCAACCAAGAACGTTAAGCCTTGTATTCTGGATTAGAAAGGCAGAAAGTGTTTATGTCCTTGTGGGGTATATGACAGAACAGTACAGTGGATTCAGGGAGACAGAGAGATTGCAATAATGCATTCCTCTTTGGCATTTGGCTAGCAAGGCTGAAAGAAGCAGAAATGATGGTGCAAGCACAGAAATTTGGGCTGAGGGTGCGGTAAGCACATAGCAACTTGTGTCACTCTGTCCTGTATCTTTGCCACGAGTAACTCTTTTCCCAGGAAGGACGTCAGTGTGTTGCTATAGATCGTTCTGGTTAAACTCTACTTGTGCTAAATATTGATTGTTCCAAAAGTTCCTTGATTACTATTGAGTTTTTCCAGACATGGAGTCTTCTTTAATCGCAAAGTGAAGAAGTAATTTTCACTCCCTCGGCCTCTTACTACGATGGAATATGATCCATAGAACTGAAGCGTACAGGTTAGGCTAATCCTCTGTCCCTCGACGGCAGTGTCATCATGATGCGAGTTCTGACTCACTGAGAAGTTGTCTCCTCCTTCATTTCAGGAGGAAGTATGGTCGTCATTGAGACTGTATGGGAATTCATTCTTCCAACTCCTAGATGAGAAGTAACAGCCCCAACATGGTGACCATCAGCAAATTGATGAAATGCAAGTGGTTGTCATCTTTCTATTTAGTTAAAAAGTTGGGTAGTTAGAAAAATGGGCACTCCGGAGAGGCCTATGTTATTTATGAAAAGAAGAATTTAATTTGAAAAGGTCAATCAAATCCAACTGGCCAATTAAAGGCCAATTTTCAAATTTACGGCACCGTTAAGGTGTCACAATGACACTATTTTTGTTGTTTTCCAGTCCTTGAAGAAACCATAGTGTTGGCTCATAAACACATGCTGTTCGTTAAGTGATAAAAGGCTCAGATGGCAATGTTTCATTAGGAGGCTAATAATTGGATTCTTTGAACTATTATAATGTTCAAATAAGCTTTTTCTTGATCTCAAATGTTTATTTTTTACCTGAAGTTCCCAGTTTTATGAAGGAGAGTTCAAGAAGACATCTGACATGTCTATGGAAAGTTCCCCTCACCCTTCACTTTTCTTAAGATAAGGGAATGAATGGATTAATTATGAAACAAATTACACAGCGATCTAAGTGTAGCAGTCCTGGAGATAAATCATGCTACATCTGTAGAATATTCTGCAAAGCCTCTTGACACTCTCTCCCCTTTGCACGAGGGCTGGGAACATAGTCAGCAAGACCTGATGGTGCTGGTCATCATTTTGGACAGGAAATAAAAGTTGGATGATAACCCCTGGACTTGACTCTATCCCTGGGGATCCTGAACTGTCTGCCTCATTGAACTGAACAAAATCCAATTAGGGTGTGCCTCAGAGAGGAGAGGCGGCCTAATTTTTTGTTAAATTGCTTTTTAATTGACATATGATGCTTATAACTATTTTTGGGGGGATACATCTGATATTTTGATACCTGTATACAATGTGTAATGATCAAATCAGTGTGACTGGGATATCTGTCAAACATTTCATTTTGCTTTGTTTTGGGAACACTACAAATCTCTCCTAACTATCCTGAAATACATAATCAATTATCGTTGGCTCTAATTTCCCTACTGTGCTGCTGAATACTGGAAAGTATTTTTTCTACCTAGCTGGGCTTTTGTATCCATTAGGCAACTTCTCTCCTCTCCCCACCTCCATTCCCAGCCTCTGGGAATCACCAGCCTATACTCTCTCCCTCCACTTTTTAGCTCCCACACATGAGTGAGCAGCTTCTGTCTTTCTGTGCCAGGCCTATTTCACTTAAGGTGATGATCTTCAGCTCCATTGATGTTCTCTCCTCAATCTGGAAACCTTCTCAACCTGGAAGCTTTCAGTTTGAGAGAGGTAAGCAAATGAACTGCTGGCCTCTCCCTCAAGTGCAAGACTTTGTTAAACGCGCTAAACTAGAACAGCTTGTGAGGTGAGAGACAGACAAGGTGGCAAGGGTCTGGAAGGAAAGCCAAATGTCACAGCAAGCATGAGCCACAACTCTTCACGGAAGACCCTTGCAGCAGACTGGCTGGTTAGGCAGATAGATACCAAGGGGCAGCCCTGGAATCTGCTGTGCTTTTGCATCTCAAACCAACCAGTCAAGGGGGCATTTCCAGAGGATGCAGAGAAAGGTATCAACTGTCACTTCTTGTTCCTCTTCCCTGGTATCGTAAGTTTTTACAGTTCTAGAATATCTGCTGTGTTTAGGGCTATTAACCTCAGGTCAAGAGGGATAATTTGTTATGATGTTGGTTTTTGGTTAGTTTGATTGGTTTCATTCTGAATAGACAAGGACTTGTAGACCAGCCACGCCTAGCACTTGATGTTAGATGTTACATTCATTCAAAATGTTACGAGTCACGCTACCCTGGGCCAGGTGCTGTAGGAGCTGGGCAGAAGATTCAAAGACAAAGGGAACACTGGTGGCACGTGTAGCCAGCCACATACACTGAGGCTGGTGGGTTTGAACCTAGCCCAGGCCAGCTAAAACAGTATGTTTTGGTGGGCACCTACTCGGGAGGCTGAGGCGAGAGAATTGCTTAATATCTTGTAATATGATTTTACTAGAAATAAGTTTGAGGTTGTTGTGAGCTGTGATGGCACTTTACTGAGGGTGACATAGTGAGACTCTGTCTCTAAATTAAAAAAAAAAAATAAATGAATGAATAAATAAATGACAAAGGAAACATTCCTCCTGCCCTTGAGGAGCTCACACTCTGGTGTCAACTGTACATATGTTTTCTCAGAAGCTTCCTCCCCTGCTGTCTCCCACAAAACTTTTAAATATAACTCCGCAAGTGTTTTTCTAATTGCATATATGAGAATTTCAGTGTTTTATTTGCTCAGAAGTTCTGAATCTTCACGTTTGCTGGTGTGTTTCATGGTAATATCAGAGCTTTGAAGTAAAGGCAACACATTCGGCACCCTGGTCTGCACATCGGATTGTGTTGTTGTCTTTGTTGGCTCCTGGGGAAAACAAGAGGCTGCTGTGTTTATTCAAACCTGTAACATTGTGATGCAGAAAAGGGGGGTCAGCAGAGCCTGAGGGCAGCCATCCTGACCCCTGTCAGGTGCCAACCACCCTGCACGAGGGAGGTGCCAGCAAGTCGCCAGCCTGCGACCCCCTGAACACAGATGACTGG